GTGGAGAGTCGTGTCAGGTTTGGTGGGGTGGACCACTTACTGGGGTGGGCCGCTTACTGGTGGAACACGTTATAGGTTCTTCTGTGTAAGTAGAGTCACGTGGTATAGTCACGTGCTTCATTCACCGGCGTGGCCTTTTACACTGTAGCTGAGTCTACATATGAAACACGGTATCTTACTAGTGGCGATACTAACTGTGCAGGTAAGGGTTTTGTTCAGATTGTCTCTTGTTTCCTGATTCCCATACTGTTCCAGCGTCACCACTTCTAGGACGAGCGTGCGCTGCTAGGACGAGCGTGCGCTGCTAGGACGAGCTGCGAGCGACCATTCGATTTTCTGCCGGATAAAACAGCAGTCGTCAGTCATTGCTATCGCTACCACTACTACACAATACACTACACCCATTCAATCTCCCCTCCCTGTCCTCAAACATTGTCGCCCGCCTTCGAAACGCGACTCGCAACACGCCTTGATTGGCAGTTGGACATAACGCCACGTGGGGGCGGCGAGGGAAAATGCGGTCGTAACTCGACGAGTGCACTCAATTCTTAGAATACAAGAATATCGGGACAATGCAGATGCCCGGTTTTTCAAGACTAAATGTTTAGATTGTAGAATGCGCATGATTATTCCACCCTTTCGCTGTCGGATATAGTTCATTGTCGCTGTCATGAGGAAGGCGACCAATGGGCAGTCAAGGCCCTACTCTGCTTCTCAGGATTGATGAATAGGCAGTGATTCGAGTGATTCGCGTATGGCCTTGGCATTTTGGTTTGGACATGACTGTGGCAGAGCAGCACACGTGACACTGCGAGAGCGCGGTCAACGCGTGAACGCGTTCTGCGCGTCCAATGGGAAGAACGTATTCTACGCGTCCAACGGCGAGGATGCACGAAACGCGTGCAACAGTCAGAATCGATTACTGTCGATTGGCTGCAGGTGAGAAGTTGTGGCAGTGCCCCTCCTTGTGTTCGGTGCTAGACCTCGATTCTTTCTAGTGCACCCAGCACTTCCCCAATGAGACAGTGACTTTGCACCCTGCCACACCACCAGTTTCCTTCCGCCTCTTCAGCACAACCCTTTGTATATAACTGCTGCTCCCAAAACGTCCAGCATACCTTGCCATATTGTTTATCCGTCTCTTCACTTCTATCACTATAACCACATCACCCGCGTATTTCTGACAAGCAAGCCTTGCCAGGATACTCCGTTACTTGTTGTGTTCCATCCCCACCTAGCATATATGTTCGACCTATCTCAGGTCAATAGAAAGTAACAGTCCACATACTGCTTTCAGACAAAATATGCTTCTCCAGCTTTCCCTCTGCCTCGTTGCCCTCACATACTGCCCTATAAGCGCACACGCTAGCCCCATCCCCCCCGTGTTTCAGCGCAAGCGACACCTCCTCGAGAGTTCGCCTGTCGAATCACAACATAGCCTATCTGTGGAGGCCATCATTGGTATAGCCGCCATAGCCGTAGCCATATTGGGAATAGCGCTTCCTCTCCTTTGGCCTAGCGTGAGATCCTGGCGTAACTCATGGCCCCGTCGCTCCCGCTTCCGTCTCAGTTCCGCCAGCCGCAGTAGTATGTTACTTCCCCCCGCAATCTGATAATATGTTCTAGCTAGCACGCAAATACTGATGATCTAAAGCAGATCAGAACATGATATTTCTCAGCCATCCTCCCCAACGTGCGACTTCATCACCACCACCACCACCGATTCCCAGTCATGCGAGCGCGGCAGCGATACCCCGACCGCAACGCGCAAGATACGATAACTATGAACAACATCGCGAGTTGATGCGACGCGCCCTGATCTACTGAGGATGTGAATACATTGGAAATATGTGTGTAGGCAAACTGCGATACAGCACAGGAAGCAACTTGTGGGCCAGGCAGGTACTGTACACCAGTTGCACAGCAGGGATAGCGTATACAAAAGAACATGCATTGCGGAGTTGCACCACGTTAACATGCAACTCCTGGGTGTTGTTTCTTTTTGTGAGTGTTTCTTGAACGATTTAGCGTACTTGTTTATTTCCAAGTTGCGTAGAGTACTTTAACTTTGATGCTTTTTACTTCTACAAAAGTTTATTAGAGAAGATTATAACAACTCCCAAAAGCACGAGTAACAACATGTTCGCGATAGGAACAGGCTGGATTGTGGCCTTCAACAAGACATCAAAATATACGCGTGAGATGAAGCGATCACATGGAGCAGCAGCTTGACTAGCATGGTGCTATTCATTCTAAAGTCATGACTCTATTACAAAAATGATATAGCACTTGGTCGTGCATATTACATAACAACAGAAGACTTCTGCACCGCAGAGCGTCTCATCTCAGAATCTCCCCCATTTATACCTAACAACTTCAGCTGGTCCAAGATTTAGGCACGGAAGGCAATTGTCCTCCTCGCGTTGCGCCTCATGCCTGAAGCCTTCTGCTGTTGAGCGCCAGCAGCAGCCTCAGCATCGGCGGCAGCTCCAGCGTTGGCGGCAGCGCCCATGCCAGCGTCTTTGCCAGCCTGAGCATCAGCGGCAGCTCCAGCGTCGGCGGCAGCCCCAGCACCCATGCCGGCGTCTTTGCCAGCCTGAGCAGCAGCGTCAGCATCCTTGCCCTTGCCCTTACCGGCCTGGGCGTCGGCACCCATACCAGCGTCGGCTCCAGCTTGTGCATCAGCGGCAGCACCAGCATCCATACCAGCACCCCTATCGGCTCCATCTTGAGCGTTGGCACCTGCGTCTTGATTAGCACCATGTCGGACTCTTCTGGGACTCAGTAGTACATACCGTTGCCCTTGCCGTTGTTCTTGCCATTGTTCTTGCCATGACCCTTGCCCTTACCCTTACCCTTACCCTTGCCGTTGTTACCGCCAGCGCCAGCTGTAGCATCTAGGCTTGTCAGTATCTAGAATCGTTGCTAGAGGAGACGATACTTACTTCCTGCTTGAGCAGCTCCACCGGCAGCAGCGTCTTGCATTCCCTTAGCCAACTCCGCTTGCTGGTTAGCAGCATCTTGGGCAGCCTGGTCAGCACCAATGTTGCAGCTGTTCTGCTGTTCAGCGGCGGCCTGGTCGGCGGCGGCTTGGTCAGCGGCGGCTTGGTCGTTAGCAGCTCCCTTTTGCTTCTCCTTTTGAGCGGCCTGCTGGTCGGCAGCAGCTTGGTCGGCGGCGGCTTGGTCGGCAGCAGCAGCACCCTTGTGCTTCTCCATTTGAGCCGCCTCTTGTTCAGCGGCGGCTTGTTCAGCAGCGGCTTGTTCAGCAGCGGCTTTCTGGTCAGCAGCAGCCTTGTGATCAGCAGCAGCTTGATCGTTAGCGGCACCCTTCTGTTTCTCCATCTGGGCGGCTTCCTGTTCAGCAGCAGCTTGATCGGCGGCAGCACCCTTGTGCTTCTCCATTTGAGCCGCCTCTTGTTCAGCGGCGGCTTGTTCAGCAGCGGCTTTCTGGTCAGCAGCAGCTTGATGATCGGCTCCCATAGTGGCATTGTTTGCTTGCCCTGCTGCGGCCTGCTCCATCTGAGCAGCCTCCTTCTCGGCCGCTGCCTTGTGATCAGCTGCCGCCTGCTCCTCTGCTGCCTTTTGCTCTGCTGCAGCTTTGTGATCGGCTGCAGCTTGCTCCTCTGCTGCTTTTTGGTCGGCCGCCGCCTTCTGCTCGGCCGCTGCCTTTTGGTCATCGGCAGCAGCAGCACCTTGCTGTGCCTGATCAGCTTCAGCGGCAGCCTGGTCGGCAGCCTTGTCTTGCTTCATGCCTCCAGCAGCAGCCTCGTCTTGCTGTGCCTGAGCATCCTCTGCTGCTTGTTTATCTTGGGCTTTGCTGAGTTAGTGAGATGTTTTTGAAGAGGAAGAGAGATATTATTACCTGCAGCGGCTTCCTGAGCGGCTTGATCTTTGGCGTTGTTCTTGCCATTTCCCTGAGCTTGTTCTTCTTCTGCAGCAGCGGCAGCATCCTGTGCTGCCTGGTCTTTAGCGTTGCCATCAGCAGCAGCAGCATCTTCTGCATTAGCATTATCCTTAGCCATACTACCCCGTGCGGCCAAGAGCACACCGCGGAGCTTTAGGGCCTTTTCGCCAAACTTGTGCACAACCTCTTCTTCGCGACGACCAAAGTTCAGGTTGGCAATGGCCGCATCCTGGGCGCGAGCAGCGATTGCTGGTCCATTGCCTGCGAAAGGCGCTGGAGCCGCTGCCACAAAGGAAGCGGAAAGAATTGTGAGAAGGGGAACAGAGGTCTTCATAATGACGGTATTCGGTTAAAGTTGAAGGATTGAAACGAGATGTGTCGAAATGTAAATTGAGCACAGCTCTTGAGAATCGAAGTGGAATAAAAAAAATAAGTGCTCAGCACCAAGGAATGATCTGAAGGATGGAAGGTGAGCGTGATGTTGTAAGCTCCTAAGGGGATCAGGTTATATACAAACTTGGCTTTATGCACCATGTCGGCGTCCCTGAACAGAGAAGTGCTGAATATAGAACAAGCCGCGTTTGCTGAGATGGATGTTCATGGTCCTCCGAGCACATCACACATGGGCCGTTGGAGGATGCCTGGAGAGGGCCAGGCCTCAAAGAGGTCTGGTCGATCAGGCCCGTAATTCTCTCACAGGAACAAGAGCTTAGCTTCCAGTTACAAGCCTAGATCATGTCTGCTATGGGATCGGGGCCGCGTCTTGGCTGTAAACGGTCGAATGAAAACGCATGAATAAGAAAATGGAATTGCGGATGAGAAGCGAGAAGCACGCCTGACGCCGGGGAGGCGGTCGTCATGCAGCGATGCGGCCTAGAAATCGAACGTGTACAGTTTGAGAGCTTGTTGCAGACAGAGCCGGGGGGGGTATATGCGGAGAAAATATTGTCCTAAACGCATAAGTTTGGAGTTTGATGTATGACTGAGGTTTGGCGCCGTACGTGGGCCTGAATCTCAGCTGGTTTCAGGCCCACCGAGATGTGCCCGCTGCAAGTACATACCAAGAAGCTTCAAAAGTCTTGACGAGAAATGCTTTTTGAAAGAGATGGTATTGAAGGGGAATGATCTGGATACAGGCCATGCGTCCTCTGATTTCATTTACTAGTGTCCAGTCCATTGCCATTCTTTCGCTCTGCACTGGCGAAGGGGTACAAGAGACTAACGGGTTTCGCCTTTGTCGATTCAGGGGCATGCGATGCATATACGCAGTAGGTGATATGTCAAACAACTGCAACAGTTGCGCTCAGTCTCTCGAGCAGTACGACAACAGCAGGATTCCCGCCCTGTAGCTGATCAGTTTTGTGGGTTCCATGGACCGCGTGGGCCCATTGTAGTTCACCAACGCGGCGGAGCGTCTCAGCCTTTGATGTTAACACGCCATGAGCCATACAGGAGCCGGGGGATCAACGCCTCGTTTCTGAACGTGTCGGTTACATGGTTAGAGATATACGCTGTAAATCAACCGCCACCGTGCTCATAGTCGGGTCGGTTGCACGTGTTTTGACAGGTGTTGAATGTGGAGAGCGGAGCGAAGGAATTACAAAGTGACGGGTGACAGGGTGACAGGAGCGCTGGCCAATGGCGTGCGCCCCGTTACAATCCCGCACCTAGCCTCTAGCCTCGGCTGCGACTTTTGGACATCGTCATTTTCGAAGTCTGGTCAAGGACGGCGCTGTTTTTTGGTGCCTCCGTCTCGTCGCCACCCGGACGGTTGAGTGCTGGCCAGTGGAGTGTAGCCAGTCACGCGTATACATACACAAGCTTTTAAGATCCAGTCCCTCTTCTCACCTGGATTCTCCACATCCATCAACGTTAAATGCCTGTCCAACACGCCGCAATGGCTACACGGTCCATCCCCGCGTCCATAACACGACGGCTGCTCACGACGTCGCAATCCACGCGCATAGCAACACGACCGATTGCATGCACGTCACCGCGTATACGAAGTGTGTCAGGATCCTGCCGCCCGGCACTCCAAATTGCCGGCCAAAGACGACCGTTTTGCACAACGCCACGCACACAATTGGCTGCGGTAGACGACACATTCGACCCCAAATCGATAGAGCGCGAATCTGATGAGGTCGATGTGCTCATTGTGGGTGGGGGCCCGGCCGGCCTGTCGGCGGCTATAAAGCTGAAGCAGCTTGCGACAGCGGCAGGCAATGAGGACTTCAGAGTGTTGGTGCTGGAAAAGGCTGGAGAGCTAGGTGATCATATTGTTTCAGGCAATGTCATTGAGCCTTCCGCTCTTGATGAGTTGCTACCAGACTGGAGATCGGAGGATAACCTGAACCGCTTCGCTGACATTACGCCTGCGAAGGAGGATCACATGTACTTCATGACCAGGGACCGCGCCATACCCCTCCCCAAGCCCCCGCAGATGAACAACCATGGCAACTTCATCATAAGCTTGAATCAGATGGTCAAGTGGCTCGGCGAACGAGCGGAAGAGGTTGGCGTAGAAGTCTACCCTGGGTTTGCTGCGTCCGAAGTGCTTTATAACCACGAAGGCGTTGTACGTGGCGTAGCCACCAACGATCTCGGTATATCGCGAGAGGGAAAACCCAAGGACTCCTTTGAACGAGGAATGGAATTTCATGCCCGTGTCACATTGCTTGGTGAAGGCTGCCACGGTAGCTTGTCAAAGCAGATTATCAAAAAGTACGATCTGAGACGGGACAGCCAGCATCAAACCTACGGCCTTGGAATCAAAGAGGTCTGGGAAGTGCAGCCCGAGAAGTTCAAGTCTGGTCGTGTCGTGCATTCTCTGGGTTACCCGCTTCCTAAGGATACCTATGGAGGAGGTTGGATGTACCATTTTGGCGACAACTTGGTCAGCATTGGCCTAGTGGTCGGGCTTGACTACCCCAATCCGTGGCTGGCGCCTTATGGTGAGTTCCAAAAGATGAAACACCACCCGTTATACAAGGATGTGCTGGAGGGTGGCAAGTGCATCTCCTACGGCGCAAGGACTCTGGTCGAGGGTGGTTTCCAGTCCATCCCCAAGCTTGCTTTCCCTGGTGGTGCCCTCCTTGGAGATGCAGCAGGCTTGGTCAACCTACCGAAAATCAAAGGCACACACAATGCGATGAGATCAGGTATGCTGGCCGCCGAAGCGACGTGGGACGCTCTTCAAGCCAACACAGACGGCGGGACTATATTCCTGTACGACTATGAAGACAAGATGCGCAAGTCACCAATCTGGTCAGAGTTGAAAACTGTGCGAAATATGCGGCCGTCTTTCCATACCCCTCTTGGTGTGTACGGAGGCATAGCGTACTCAGGATTGGAGGCATACGTCCTCCGAGGCAAAGCGCCTTGGACACTGAAACATGGGAAGCCTGATCATGCAGCGACAAAGCCTGCGGATGAGTACCAGAAGATCGAATACCCCAAGCCGGACGGCAAGATCAGCTTCGACATACTGACCAGTGTCAGCCGTAGCGGCACAAATCATGAGGAGGACCAGCCCTGCCATCTCCAGGTAAAGGATCTTGATGAGCATGCCAAGAGGGAGTGGCCCAAATACAAGGGTGTCGAAAACCGCTTCTGTCCCGCAGGTGTGTATGAGTATGTCGAGGATGCCAGCAAAGAGTTGGGCGTCCGGTTCCAAATCAACGCTCAGAAGTAAGTATCCAAAAAAGCTAGTCAAGATTGAGTGCATTCTGATTGACTGGTGTTAGCTGCGTTCACTGCAAGACTTGCGATATCAAAGTACCGGATCAGGATATCAACTGGCAAACACCCCAGGGCGGCGAAGGACCAAAGTACGTCCTGACTTAAGCACAGTCATCTGGTGAGCTCCACACCTATTCAACTTAGGCAGCTCGATGCGCAAAGTAAGATATCACCCGACATGTATATTAGGAGAGACCACATGTGTATGTATAAGTGGCCAGCCCAATTATTGTTGCTGCCCAAGCGAGGATTGCCGACTGCAACAGAGGCACATGAATGACATATTCTTGATTGCCAAGCATTTGGTATTGGTGAAGATGTGGTCGGGGTACGTGTTCAGTATGGTCCCTTAGCGTATGATAGCACATGCATTTGCGTGAGGTTGCGTCTAAGTGGTAGCCTCGGCAGGCAGGGCATCCATGGGCCTCAGAGAAAGCGGAATGCACGTGATGTCTGTGCTCTAGCTTAGCCAAGTAAGGCGGCGTTGGGCGAAGTTCGTCTCCGCGCCCTTCGTCACTCTCCACCCAACAACCACGCCGGGGCCTGTCACATCAACAGCAGCTCGGCCATCATCTCTGCTTGCACCCCGCTGCCGCGATACCGGGCATACTAATTTCTCTCCTCAGACCCGAGTGCGCGACATCTGCGCTCAGCCGGCTCCCTCCAGGCCCTTCACCACTCAGGTCCTTCTACCACTGCCCTGCATCCAGCCTTCGCCACCCCATCAATCTCCAAGGTACGACTAGCTACCTGCATTGCATTCTCTGGCCATTCCTCGCGCGTCTATCCTGGTCCTTGTAGTTGCACGCATAGCTGGACGCTGGTTTCCTGGTGTCGCGTCTCTGAAACGGAGCCTCCCATGTCTAGCAGGCACGATGCGCACTCCTTCGCTGGCTATCCGCTTACTCATGGACATGTGCTCACCATTTTATCCAGACTAGGTTATCCTTAGGCCACAGTTCCACCATAACCCCCATCGCCATGACTGAGGTATCGTCCACGCGCCTATACCTAGGCAACCTTCCCCGTAATGCCACCAAGGCAGACGTCGAAGGCCACTTCCAGACGCATGGCACCGGTGAGATTACCGAGATCAAGTTGATGAACGGTTTCGGTTTCATCGAGTACAAGGACGCCATGGACGCTCGTGACGTCGTTCCTGGTAAGCTTGGCCCACCACCCATTAGACCGAAGAAGCGCTAATTTCTGTGTAGCTTTCCGTATGTAGTTTGTCGCGTTCAATTCCCCCAGACACGTCCTCCTAACTTTTTATAAGATGGTTCCGATTTCATGGGCGAGCGCCTCATTGTCCAATTCGCTCGTGGCTCGCGCGCCCGCAACGAGAACTTTACTCCCCACGAGCGCGTCCCACCACGTCCTAGACGTACGCCATACCGGATGAGAATAGCAAATCTTCCGGTGGAGACCAGCTGGCAGGTCAGACTCCCCGATCATTGGATTTCCCCAGTTTCCTGTTAGGGTCAGCGTACCGTTCCCGGACCAGTAATGGCTTTATTCTCGCGTGCTTCCCGTTATACATTCTGGATTTGGACCTCGCTTAACTTCGAATGTATAGGATCTGAAAGATTTTGCCCGTCAATCTGGATTGGACGTCGTCTACTCTGAAGTTGGTCGTGAACGCGATGGCACTGGGTGAGTGCGCTATAGTAAAGGGCTCCTGACGGCATGCTGACACTATTAAGATTTGTCGAATACGAGACGGCCGCCGATCTGAAGACTGCAGTGGAGAAACTGGACCGCCGTGAGTTCAAGGGGCAGGAGGTTACCTGCATCCAAGACGTCTCTGATCCTCCCCCACCTCCACCTTTTAAGCCTAGGGCTCCTTACGGAGGCCCTGGTGGTCCCGATGACCGGGGCCGAGACAGATATCGATCGCGCTCCCCTATGGGACGCCGCGGCTACCCACCTGCGCCGTATGACGACTATTATGACCGTCGCGGCCCCCCTCGTGGCTACAGCCCTCGACGCGACGACTACCGCCGGCGCACACCGCCCCGCGAGTTCTATGACAGGCGTGACGTCGGTTATGGACGTTCGCCGCCTCGTGGTCGCATGCCTGATGAGTATGGCCCACCGCGCGCGCGTTACCCTGACGATCCTTATGATGCTAGGGCCGGACCTCCACCTCGTCGCTACGACGACCCTTACATGAACGGCCACGGGCGCCCTTACGACGGAGGACGACCACCCTCCCCGCGTGGTGCTCGTCCCCGCAGCCCGGGAGGACGTCCACCCTACGATGCCCCACCGGCTGACTACCCACCCCGTGGCCGCTACTAGAATGGAAGAGCATGACTGGCAACGTATGTCGAACACCTCTGGCTCTGCCCTGGTGTCGTATTCTCGCGCATCTACTGACGTCCATGCAGTAGGCCTGTGTGGTGCCTAAAGTATCATTTCTTTTTTCTAAATTGACGCTCCGAGGCTTCCCACTGTGGACATGGATTATGCGAAAATGGAGCCTAAGGATATCCGGAGGTATGACTGCGCGACATGAGGCCAATGAGACTGATTATTACCTTTCCTACTCCGGGGCCTTGGATTCTTGATGTATCTTTACTATTCTGGCGCGGCATCATCCTGATGCGCTATCTGGCACGGGAGGTTTAGTTCCTTTTGAGATGGTCTCCATGACTGTCATAGCTACTTGGAGGATGTCCAGGTTTCTGTATCATTGAAACAAACTTTTCTTGCACATATGGATGTCCTATTGATCTCGTTCCAAATGAATAATGTGGCTTTTCAACATGTAAAGTATGCGTGGCCTTGCCGCTACAGAGAAAAGAATTTTTTCAGTTTTGATATGCTGTTTGGATTTGGATCATCTCCTTTTGCTACTGAGACAAATCAGGACGAGACTACTTTTTCGGTTTCTTCTGAATTTCCAACATCTGTATGGTCTTGAGTTATTGGGCGTTGAACGAAAGAACAAATTTCTGAACAGATGGGTATGGAGGCCCAACCCCCATTTTTTTACATTGCATACTCGTCTATCTACAATTCCATCTCCTCCGTCTCACCATGTTCCACACCCATCTTCCTCCCACAATCCCCACATATGCTGAGTTTCGTATCTGGCTTCAGCTCCGCCGGCGACTTTGCCTGATATTCCCGTCCGCAGCACATACACCGTACATATTTCTCGCCCTTCTTACCTACACGACCTGACGCACGCGGCGTCGTTATGTTCCCATTACTTCCCTCCGACTCCCTTCCTTGCACCCTTTGCTGCTCCCTCTCCGCCGCAGCAGTATGCTCACACGGATGCCACCCCGCATGCCCCCTCTGTCCCCTCCCCGCCTCACGCTTTGGCCGCAACGCCAACTCCATCTGCCTCAACCCTGCTCCTACCCTCGCCTCCTCCCTCCCTTTCTTCTTCTCCACCCGTCCTTCCATCGTCGAAGTAGTAAAGTCACTCTTCGCTTCCCGCCTCCGCTCGCTCCTCCGCACGGGATTCCACGATGAGAGACTGGCGGGCCGTGGATGCGGTGGTAGCCGGTCGTCGCTGTGCACGGGGATGTAGCTCGGCATCGGGTCAGGGCGTGTGAGTTCGCCGTTGGGGAGGAAACGGGGTTCGGATGTGTAGGCTAGGCGGGCGGCTAGGCTGGCGAAGAAGGGGTGTGGGGGTGTGGGGGTGAGGTTGTAGTGGGGAGGTGAAGGGAGTTGGGGTTGTGTGGGTTGGGGTCTAGGTGTTGGTGGGCATTTTGGTGGTTTGGAGATGGGTTGGGGGGTGTGGAAGGGCATTTTTGTTTTTGCGGTTTGGATTTGGATGTTTAGATGGTGAGTTGTTGGAGTGGAGTGTGATTTGGTAGTTGGGTGGTTGGGTGGTGAGGGTGAGGGTGGTGTTTTGTTGTTTGGGAATGGAGACTTGTGGTTTGTGAGGGATAGTGAGAGTTAAGGGGGGGATAGCGAGTAGTTATAGCCAGAGCAACATGAGTTTGTGCGAATAAGGGTGACATTTTGTGAGGCTAGGAGACTTTGTAACCAGAGTTGGAGGATTTTGCTGCGGTCCAATGGCCACACGCCCATTGGATGTATCACTGTTATAGTGGTTCTGGGTGTTGGTCGTCTCTCAGGTTTGCGACGAACCTCTTTAGATTGCTGTTATTATTTAAATTTCTAATTTCGATCATGTATACCATGGTTTCTCTTGTTTGATAGTTTACAGGTCGAGGAGTAATTGTCTGCTTCTCAGTAGGAAATCCAATAGCTGAGTGCAAAACCATAAAACATAAGCATCGAGAAATCTGTCAAGCTATTGACAACCAGACAGTTGGCTTTGCGTGTGAGAAAATCAGATAGCTGCTCTGCTTTTCACTCGTTTCCATGGCCGAGACTGGTTTTCCGAAGACCATGGGAGTCAGATCATGTAGTTCTTGTCTCATAATCAAAAGATGACAAATTCAAACAAAAGTAACATCGCAGCTCAGGTATACCCTGGAAAATATCCGACAGATCAAAGGTAGTAGAATGATACAATAAGTAAGAGATAACAATATTGTATTTTGTTAAAACTAGAGCTGATCTATACAACACCTATCTTGCCATGTCTTCAATAGATCACGTCACATCACCCAAAGTTTTAAATTATGTAACCCAGGCCACGCTGCCCAGTGACAGGAGTAACATGCCAAAATCCAACCCCTAGTGGTGCATATTCTAGAAATCAAATCGAATCATATTGTTTCATAAATACGCCTGTTTTTGCCTTTTGTTATTCTTGTAACTCCTATCACGCATGTATCAGTCCTAGCGAAAATCGCAAATATATTTTGTTGTGAACAATGGCCCTTGATGTTGTGGAGCAAGCGGCGGCGATATCCTATCGGACTATGGTCCACTCGTCATCAGAAGTATAGTCAGTACCGGTGGCGGCCAGAATATCAACAACAGGTGTAGGAACCAACTCCGGACTAGACATTAGCTCGTCGGAAGTAGTAGGAGTATGTAAATCGGACGAAGACACCACCGTGTAATCCTCGTCCTCATCGGAATATAGGGTCTCGACACCTTCCATCACGTCCGGTTGTGGAATCTTTGGTCGATGGACAAGAGTGGTGGTAACGGAGTCCATCATGTTCCTCGTATCTTCTCTTTCGTTTGTTCCGCTTGCAAGAGCGGGAACAACAAGGGTCGTGTTCTCACTCTCTGACTCATCTGAAATGATGGTATCTTCTCCGCAAATTGTCTCTGATAACAAGTCTTTTGAGGCAGTCGGGATGGGTTGGGTGCAGGATTGGACGCCAAGAGTGTCGAGACACAACCGTATGATGTGGAAGGCGCCTTTTAAAGTTAGTACAATTTCAGCAGCTATGTCAAAAATATCTCAGACTTACAATCGTCTTCAAAATTGCGCTCCATGTTTGTAGAACAAAGGTCTTGACAAAACTCTGGAATATCGGTCGCGAGTTTAATAAAGTCCGCATCCTCCCCAAGATTGTAATACATGAACCTCGAGATAATGTAGTTGAGGAGCGTACCAACAAGGTCGTGCTGTGGACGCGCTAGGCTGCTATAGTAGTGCTGGTATACGAAACGAATAGTCTCGAGCAAATCTTGTGGCGGGAAGGGTACGCAGCATGCGAATTCGATTTGGCAGGAGAAGTTGCCATGGGCGAGGAGCTGCAGTTCGGGGATATCAAAGTCTTTGGCCATCTTGTAAACTTCGACGTGTGGAAGCAACAAGGGGTGTCCGCCATCTTCAGTGGGTGGGAGGTAGCTACCCGTGTAGCAGTAACGGAGTAGCGAGATAAGCCCATTTGTGGATGGAACGTCGATGCTGGCCTGAAGACTACCATTCGGGCCGTACTCGAATGCGTGGTACAGCAATGGGCAGCTGTCCAGGAACATGTATGGGCAGATACGACACGAAATCAGACGAACCTCTCCGTGTGGAAGTACAGCTTTGAGGGTTGCGTTGCCCTGGTCGGACATGTCCAAGAATGAGAGGTCGTCCATGTTGATGCGGCAGGCCAGAGGCCGTCAAGTGTCTCGTGGTAAACGTCCAGTATTGTAGTGTGTTGTGAATATCACGTCGAGTCAGCGAGGATGTTGAGCAGGCTGTAGCAGTGAGAACAGCCGCCTAGTCTGTGAAGATGGGCAAAGTATGGTATGTGATGCTTTGAGAGGGTCCACAGGGAAGTCAACAATCTGGGAGCCTCCGCTATAGTCTGACAGGCATAGCCTCGTGGTTGACAATGACGGGCAGGAAACAGAATCAGGCAGCCATTTGCATACACAGGGAGCCACACACGTGTCCCATGGAAGCCTACCGCGTGTCCGGGATCGATTGTAGTTGGAATATGGGTGACAATAATTCAATAATGATACAAGGAACGGTCCTCGACAAGAGGCACTGCATATGAGTAAGATCCAAGTGCCGTCACCGTGGAGGGGCATTTAAGCCTCGAGCAGCGCCCTTTGGAGGGTGGTTGTACTGCATGCCGAACATGTGCCTATTGGCTGTAGGAGGGCAGTGCCAAGAGATCCGGTCAACCAGTCGTGGAGCGATGATACAAGTGTGCATCCAAGGCTGAGGCTTCTGTCAGCTGCATCCAGCGTAGAGAACCAGTGGTGAGTGTTGAGGGGTGGATGGATGATCCTGGCCCCTTCGACCAGGATGCAGCCGGGGAAGAGCACCAGCCACGACCCGCCTGTCTCCACAGCTGTGGCGTTGCCCGGCACCTATCCGCAGCCCCTCGGCCAGATTTCCCCATCATTATACATACTTACGTACGTACAGACACACATCCTCGTGAGTGTCGCTAGGTGTCGTGGACGTGCAACCCTCCTCGTACCCATTAATCCTGCTTCTGGAGCCTCCTATTCTTCCGCACTCAGCACGCCGGTTGCTCGTTTGCAGTCGCGTGTGCAAGCTTCCGTCTCGTGCCGGCATGGGCCTCTTCTCAATTCTGCCTGAGAGCTTCGCGGTGGTGGAGACGTGGATTACGCGCATATTCGTGAGTACTGTTGAGTGCCTGTAACCGCGATCCGGGTTTCTCACTAGCCCTAGCTTTTCCTCGGCCTTATAGCCATTGCCCCGTGGGCCGTGCTGCTCGTCTACGACATACTCTTATACGTCTTCCGCGCCGGTGCGCACGAGATACCCGTCGTGGGTGGACGCGCCCGGGGAAAGTCTAGGCCCCGTGCTCCCAGTCTTACAGAACGGCCAAGCGGTCGCCGTCGCAAGTTTAGCCTCCGTGGCTTCGAGAAACCGGTGCTGAATACAGGGGGTACAAATGCCGACTCGCACGACGCTCGATCCCGTCGCATAACAGAGGAGACAACGGAGGATTCGTCGTCATAGGTTACTTGAAGCCAGGCCTGCAATTGAATATTCACAATTTGAGCTACGTCCGCGAGACCGTGTGTAAGAGTTGGACTTGAGAGGGCATGTGCTGTACAAGTACCTTGATGCTGTCTCAAGAGATTCACCATTTCTCGGGGAAAACATGGAGAGAAATCCCGCATACTGAAACTATGTCGTGGGATGGAAATCAGCGCATGGCATTACTCGTATCTGGAAACTGCAAAATGAGGCCTTGCATATATATATAGCGACTCATGGATTTGCGGATCCGGTAAAAGACGGATTCAGGCAGTTGTGCCATGTCAAACCTGAATCGCTCGAGATGACAGCAGGGGTGGGCCACTTAAGGTCAAGAGGCCGTCGATATTGTTGGAGAGCAACTATTAACAAGCGCCATGTGGAATGGGAGTCGTGTCTTCGAGCATAATCATGCGCTCTTGTGCCGTTGTGTCTCGCTTGTGCCCAAAGTGTCTGGGGCATATATTACCAAGAGTTTCAGATAACAATATGCGCCAATCACGTCTGGCCATTCACGAGGGCCGGCGCATGTATCAGAATAGGCTATGGAGATCATAGAGTAGGTATGTGATGAGCTAAGCCTGGTTTAGCGTGTTCCGGGGCCGTGCCTGCTCTCAATGAACCTTCACTTCACCTTCCCACCTCTTCACTGTCACAACAACAACAACAATTGTCACTCGCAGTCTCGTTCGATCCTCCAGATCTCATCAACTCCACACATCTTACGTCTTTTATAAATCTCAATTAGCATCAACTACCTCACAATGGCTGTTACTACTACTACTACTACTACCACCACTACCAAGACGGCGACACCAAAGACGGCAAGCGCCGCCGGCGTCAAGAAGACTGCTCCCAAGGGTGGTCGCGCGGGAAAGAAGAACAACGCCAGAAACGCCATGGCTAAGATGCAAGCATACTGTAAGTATTTCACCGTTTGACGCGCTTTATCGCGTTATTCAGACGCGACTGTCGTTTGGTCGCCACGCAAGACGGGCGTTGTTAGGGGTTAAGGTTTGCTGACCAACAACACACAGTCAAGGCTCACCGCGACGAGTACAAGGACTTGTCTTTCAAGGAGCAACAGCAAGAGCTCGGCAAGAAGGTACGTTTGATCCAATCCATTTCAGTCATTTCATGGCTGCGACATGTATTGCGCCATGACGTTGTGTAACCCTTGCTGACATCTGGGCAGTGGAAAGCTTCTCCTGAAAACCCCAAGAACAGCGCTTGAGCGGACTGCGAATTGCTTTCTTTGAAATGAATGGGTGGTTTTCTTTTTTTTCTTCGTCTGTTTTCTTTTATTCAGGTCATGTTTCGACAGTGTGTTTTTGCAAATTTACCGACGAAAGGCAAACTCCGGGCTGCTAGAGCGTAGTGAGATACTACGACTGGGGTTATAGTAACCATGTGCTTCAACAGTAATATGGAGTAATTTATTCAAACTGATTGCTGCTCTGTATCAACGTGTATTACTAGGCGAATTCCGGTGGATGTGTGGCAATTGCCGGTTAGTCGCGTAGCTGATGCAAGCACGAAAATCTGGAGATGAAAGCTAACTATTGACAACTAAGCATTTGAGCCCATGTACAAAAAATTATGTCTATGCAGACGTGAGAGGCCAATGGTACACAGACTGTAGGACCCTGGTTGCACGGCCGAGGGGGGCATGTTCACAAAGCCTTGGCAAGGCTACCTCTTTTTTTTTGTTGCTCCCATCTCTGTTACACCAACATTCTTTTAGGAAAATCATCCAAGTCTTACTCTCAAGCCTATTCATGAGACCACATCCCCCCCTCTTCCCCCTTATCCATTAAACAAACACCACCCCAATCCCCAGCCTCTTTACCCATAAAATACTCACTCACACCAATATACAAGAATCCCAACTTAGCATACTAACCACGTTTTGCAATCGCTACATACTATTCATTATGTACATCTCTTCTAAATCTCTAGAACACAAAGAAGTCATCTCCACTTATTCATCAGCACCCCTGCCTATCTCTCTCTCTCTCTTTCTCTCCAGCACCTCACTGCACCATCCAAAAAGTAATGAAAAATTGAGTAGCTAACGAAAACGTAACACATCAATCTCACTTTCCCCCTGGTCTAATAAACCTCTCCATTCATACCCAATTGTGTCTCTAAGTACTTTATATCCCCCGTACGTACGGTTTTTCTTTTTTAACCGAAAAGATGCATGTTGATCCGTAGTCCAAATTGTAACTCTAAAATTGTTGACGGGAGATAGATGTGTTGGACGTGTTATGGCATTTCGTCCAGTTGTGGCTGGTGTTGGTGGGGGAAAGTGGGGGATGTGTTGGGTGTGGGTGTGTGTGTGTGGGGGGGGGGGGGGGGGGGGGGGGGGGGGGGGGGGGGGGGGGGGGGGGGGGGGGGGGGGAATCGAGCGAGTTACGCGATTGTTGGGGAAATTGAGAGGGGAGTGGGGAGATTTGGGTGTTTTGATTCTAGATATGGAGGTGCATCTGTTTTCAGGTGTGATGTGAGTATTTTGGTTGTGCTGGTGGGCGAGTTTGGAAGGTTGTTATGAGGGATGTGGAAGACGGGGAAAAAGAGAGGGTTGGTAGAGAGAGGTTGGGTGTTTTTTTGAAGTTTATACGGAAACGGATTGCTGTATTTGGTTTTTTGGTGAATTATGAGATGTCGGCTTGACGCTGATCGGCGTTGACTAGTAATACGTTGGTGATGTAAGGGTTACCATATCTGAAGACTTGCTGAATAGGTTTACTCTTACAACTAGAAAATAACACTAAAGAGGCTTGGAACGGAACAAAGCTATTATGAGATTCTCCGATAACTACCAAGTACCCCAACGTTGTGTATTAGCTATCCAAATCCCCGGAAAAATTCCATATACTCCGTAAGAAGTCTCGGAACACGCCTAATCAACCTCCGGAACAGGCAACCCATTCACAATCATCATACCTTCCCGCCCCAGCGATTTCATCGCCTTAACCGCCTCATCATGCCTCAACTGCTTCGTCTCTTCATCCGTTACAAGCACAAAGTCGTATGTAAGCAGTTTGGTTCCCTCGGCTACATCATACTGCTTCGCCTGCTGGGGCGTTACCGTGTCCAAGCCGACAATGAGCGAGTCCTTGACACCAAAGACAGCGTCAGAGGTTTCATATGCGGAACCGCGGACATACAAGGCACTAAGATTGTCAGTTGCACATCTTCCATATGCTGCATAGCCTTCGAAAGGTGATATCAGGGGGATAAAGGGACGAACGTACGTAACCAAATGATCAAAGCCCTCCTTCTCAAACATGAAATGCATATGACTCGGTCTCCAACAATGCCTTCCCAACTTCTCCAGCAACTTGCCTACAGGCCCATCATTCGGAATTGGATACGGCACGGGTACAATTCCTTTGAACCAAAACACACCCTCGTCGTCACTCATAATCACCGCGCGGCCATCAGCCTTGTCGCCGCGGTCCTCATATTGCACGTCGTACTTGCCGTTGGAATCCGTTTCCCAGACGTCGATTTTGACGCCGGATATTGGGGCCCCGGATGTGGTTTTTACGGTGCAGAGGACAAGCAGAGGTGTGCCAGAGGGGTCGGCCGAGATTTTGGCGCCTGGTGCAGAGGAAGGGGCGTCGTGCGTGTGGAAGGGACCAAGGACCGTGCCTTCGGTTGAGGAAGGGGGTTTTGGGTGATCGATTGAGTCGACGAGGAGGGAGAGACCGACAATGTCGGAGAGGAGAATGAATTCCTTTTGTTTTTTTGTTGTTAGCTTGGGGGTTTTTTCGTAGAAGAGACAATAAAAAGGGAGTTCGCACTTGTCGCACGTCTGTACATATCTGGCCTACTTGTGTCAGGAATTGGATTCCTGCCATCCATTCATCGAAACTGAGGCGTGTCTCGCGTGCAAAGTCGTGCAGATGGGTTACCAGACGCTCCATGACGTATTTGAGCCGTGGATCGCTGCATTGCGAGTTTATGCGGTGCACGTTTTCTGTAATGTTTTCTATCGTGAGGTTCTTGAGGACGGGTACCGTCGATTCGTCTGCGCTCTTGGAAGGCGACATTGTTGGACGCTGGGAAAGATGAATATACGAGGTGGGTTGGCGGTGTTTCGCGCGTAGGCGGCTAGATTGCGCAACGAGGGCGGTTATGGATTTGAAAAGAAAAGAAGAAGTCACAGAAACTGGTTTGACAGGTTAAAATAAAATGCAAAAAACCATGGCCTGATTGATATGAAGATAGTTTGAGTAAAACCGGTGAATTGTCAGCCATGACATGAGACAGCAATATCCGACCTCGTCCGCCAAAGGCTAAAAGGTGGGGGAATGCTTGCCAGTCCCATATTTACTGGTGCTCCGCTGGTAATTGTTCGAAGCTCATAGGCCCAATGACCACAGATGGAAAGGGACCAGGCGGTCCCGGGAAAACATTCACGAGGTGGGGATGATGATGTCGGAGGGGCTCTCGGTACCTGAATGCGGGGCACTGGCAGCGCTGGCTTACCAAGAGCTTACCAGCTTTCGGTCGACCGAGAAAGTCGGAGATAAGATCGCCCAACACCAGCAGTATTATTGTATTTGTCCTTCACTTGGGTATAATATTGCAGTAAAAGTCGCTTGTTTTGGTGGGCTAGCCCGCTTGGCCTGAGTTATCCAGTTTCATTGATGGACTGAGAGACAAGCTGCCGTGGAGCGCCAATGCGTCTTGTGGGGTAGTTCTTTCCTGCATAGTAAGTGGGCTGCAACTTATTATTTTCATGGTAGCGGAGCCTCAATTTCAATCATGAAAGAGAGAAGAAAGAAAAAGGTAAATGTCATTTAATTAAACAAGTTACAATGTTTATTCGAAAAAAAAGGTGAATCATATGATATGAAAGAAGTGAAGCCCATACTTCACGAGATATACGCCCCTTACGTCCCCCCCCCTCAACGCAAATGCCAGTGTACCATATGGGAAACGCCCATGGAGATAAAAAAAGAAAAGCAAACTGCACTTAAGCAGTTGACCCCCTTACAAAAAAGAGAATGGGGAACATGACGAGAAAGAGAAAGAAGCGAAATAGACATATCCATGTCCATGTTACACCATAAAACATATGAAAGAAAACCCTTAGCTCGTTACTCTCCTAACCCAAAGCGCACTTCCAGCAGCGTTTGGATCATCCTGCTCCCTCTTCTTCCACGCGCGATGCAACTTGAGTCCGACATCATGTTCCTCACGCCTAATATCATCTAGCTCGACCTCAAACGCCTTCTTCTTATGCTCCACCGCCTTCGCCTTCTTGAAATCCGTCAAGAGCGGGTTCGGAGGCGCGGCATTGTTGAGGTCAGTGAGAAGACGGTAGACATTGTTGCGGCGGATGCGGAGATCTTCTTGTTGGGATTCTAGAAGCGCAATGTGATCAAGGGCGCAGAGAGCAGTAGGTGGGTGCGGTAGCGCTTTAGATGTGTTGGACATGCCGCTTGCGGTGGAGAAGGTGGAGACGTTGGAGGGGGACAGCATTCTTGAGGCGTTGGGGCGGGAGTCTGGGATGCGGTCGGAGTGGGGGACGGGCCGGCGGCGCAGGAGGACTGAGGACGAGGCGGAAAGTGGGGGTGAAGGTGGTGGCGAATGTTGGTCGGACGTTATAGACTGGCTATATGTGCTCCAGGAAAATTGGCTGGCGATAGGTCGCTTGTCTGTCTCTGGTGGGGTTGCTGTCCGGTAAGCAGGGTGGATAGGTAGTTCGGTCTCGATTACAATAGCCGGGGACTGTTTCTGACCGTCGCGGCTTTTGGGCGTGACCGGGCTTGGGTAAGCAAATGCACTAATACCAAGGCCGTGGGCTGTGGGAGATGTTGGAGAAGTGAGACTACTTCCTGCAGGCGACTTCTTTCCTACTTTTAGGGGCACAACGGGTTTAATGATTCCTTCATGCACCTCGTAGTTGGCGGTTTCGGCTGTGACGGGTCGAGTATCAGCAAGCGTGGGTGCTGAATCGACGGCAACGGTAAGCGTGTTTGATCTGACTTGGTCCGAGCTTGGTGATGTAGTCGCTCGTGGTATTTGCAACGACTTTTCTCCGGGTTGGTTTTTGACTACTGGTGGTGAACGCTTCGAGCCGAAACGGCTAAGACGCTCTCCAAAACTAAGGCTCTTCTTCTCAGGGCCAGCGGCGGACACCGAAACTTGGTAGCCCATGGGCTTGAGACCGGCAGAAGGCACGCCTACCGCATAGGTGTGCGGATCAACTGATGAGGCTTTTCCTGCACTGTTAGGCTCGCCCGAGTACTCGTCCCATTTTACTTTACTGTTTGGTGCAAGCTTGCCTTCCCAGAATTTTTGCTTGTGGCCAGACTGTACATCGCCAGTTCGAATGACGGAAGGTGCTCTGCGCAAGACGGGAATTGCCTTTACATCGCGCGGCTCGTCTTGCAGTTTCCGCTGGCTGTCGTCCATTGAGGAAAAGTCGCGGAGGGATATGTCACGGATAGACTGAGGCGGGTCAAAAGACGGGAGGAACTTTTCAGACTCTGGTGAACTTGGCGGGGATAGATCGTCGTAGTTGGATCGTAATGTGGCGGCAGGATTACCGTAATAGTAGTCTTCGATCGAGGCCCGCGAATAGACCGAAGGAATAGTCGGCACTGCCGACAGTCTTTGGACTGGAGGGAGGGTTGGCGGACCAGACGCTGTAGTGATGGTAGGGTTGGGTGAAGGCTTGGAGCTAGGGCAAGGCTGATTAGCACTGGATTAGGACGGAGCGATAGCTGAACGTACAGTGAATCTAGCGGGGGGAGCACATAGTTTTGTTGCTCGGGATCATGGAGGCCGGCGACATTTGGATTACGGTGGAGTTGATCCTGGTCATAAGTGGTTTCAAGCAGTACGGGGTGACCTATTTGCGCATGCTTTTCTTTCTCGCGGACGTGACCCTGTAATCGTTTCCACATTGTGATGATGCCTGCATGAAACATTTATTAGCCTTATGCAACGCTAGTCCGAGTACGCGTCAGAACACAGGGCAGTCATTTGCGTGCCGTTGTAGTATGATAGGTTTACATGATGTAATGTTATATTTAAACTTTGCAGCAAGCGAGTCAAAGTAGCAATAGGTATGAAAGCAACTTGTGCGGACGTCTTGGCAGGGCTGGATCCGGTGGGCGTTGTTCTAGTGAGTGCGGGAGATAGGCGAACGGCATGGCCTGTCGATCATAAAAAGATGGGGAGAATGGGATGACGACAAACGGGCCTGCAGGGTTGACGCGTCCTGGAAGAGGTGGCCATGGGTACAGAAGCGGCAAATTGGATGGCTGGCTGGCTCAGTGCTTCCGGAATGAGGACCGGAAGTAGACATGATGGTACAAGGCTGGTGGGTGAGGGGGGACATGGGGGGACAAAGGAAAGAGCAAGTGCAGAGATTGCAGTACATACCAATTGAAGATGTGGCAGGTCAGGATTGGATGAGTGGAAGATTGAGCGTGTTGACGTTGAATCTAGGATGAATGGAAAGGAGCAGGTTCAAGTGGGTGGCGGTGCCCTACTATTCTTCGTCGGCGCAATCTTGGTAAATGAAGGAGGGCGATCAGGTCGGTGCCGCAATGTAAAAATAGCGGCTTACTGAGCGCAAGACGATGGCAATGGCAGCAGCAGCAGGAGCGTCGTCTTGAAAGCGCCGAGGGACGCGCCCGAATGCTCTATCTCGTCGACAGACTGAATGGTTCGATGGCAGCGATGCGCTCTCTGACAATCGTCCAGAGGCGGCTTAGGCGGCTTAAGCGGGTGAGGCGGCGGGGACGAATCAGGGCAAGCCAAGAGAGGCCAAATGAATCCACGGCACGCGTTTCAGTGCCGGTGCGAGGCGGTTTCAGCCTCAGGCGCACAGGGCCAGGGCGCGCGTGCTCAGCTAACAAGTAAGTAGATATGTATAGCACAGGCAGATATTACACAACGAGCTGACGGGCCAGCATGGAGACGACAACAGGGCAGAGCGAGAGGAATCCTGATCTTGCACCGCCGGGGGCGACCGAGGGCTTATGAATGCGCCCCAGAGCCTCTACTGTCGCATGTCGACGCTCAGATGTCATCGAGGATGCATCCAAGAGCCCCTCACCCCCCTTCCACGGACAGCTGGCCGCCCGATGTGTGTCTGAAGAGAGAGCAAAGGGGCCAAAAACCAAGTCCAGCATTACGGGCGACAGGCAGCGCTGCTTGCTTTTGCACCGCCAAACAATGGTCGGGGTGAGTTGTCGGGATTCAAGAGAGTATGGTTAGCCGGATATTGCATCATTGCAACCACTAAACTCCCCACCTACCCGCCCGTTGCCGCTAGCCTAGCACGCCCATCACCTACACCATACCACCCAGTCTTCATTTTTTTTTCCACCACTTGCTTCCACTGCACTGCTTCCAAACATGGCAGACGGTATGTTCATCCATCAACGCTAGTCTTGACCCGCACGCACACTCACACCACAACCAGCACTCCCCTCGCCCATTCCCCAGCCCGAGGCAACTCACGCGTAAGCAACACATTTCTTCTTCCTCTTCTCCGTCCTCCCTTGCCAGACTGACCCCCTCGTCGCAGCGCCTCGGTCTTCACTCCAGTCAACCTTGTCCTCCTCTCGCTCTTCGGTGTTCTGGTCTACCTCCGTCTCAAGCCCTCGACTCCCCAGACTCTTCCGCGGGCTCCGCCCCCAACCGTTTTCCGCACCTTTACTCCGCCCTCGCTGTTTCCCTATAATGGCCTCAACAACATGCCAGTCTACCTAGCTGTCCGCGGACGTGTTTTTGACGTCACCCCTGGTCGCAACTTCTACGGCCCTGGTGGCCCCTACGCAAACTTTGCTGGCAGGGATGCCTCGAGAGGCCTGGCGTGCGGTAGCTTCGACGAGGATATGCTGACCAAGGACTTGGACGGCCCCCTCGACACTTTGGAGGGCTTGGATGATGAGCAGTTGGACGCACTACGAGGCTGGGAGGAGCGATTCAGTGAAAAGTACTTGGTTGTAGGCAAGCTGGTGCCCGTAGGCCACCCGGAGGCTGAGGAGGCCAAGGCTTAGGCTTAGGCACTTGTCAATGCGATACGACATTCCGTGCTATAACGGGTGGAAAAAAACAGGTAGGACAATTTACCGGGCTCCGAGGAACCCTCAGGTCATGACAGTTCTGACTCGGCCTGATCAAGCCAAGTACATACAGCAAGTCATAGACTGCTATCAAACACAAAATATAGATTTAGAAGAAGTTGCTGTTGCGAAAAGAAATGCTGAATTCATAAATCCCGGCCTGGATATCCTTCATTTCTACAAGAGTCGAGGCTATACCTGCTATCAAGATGTCAACGGGTGCCTATCGTCCACTCTCTAGCGGCAATGTTCCCAATGCGGGGTTCGCCCCGATAGGCAATCGCATCCCACCTCTTTCCCTCTTTGCCTAATGACAATGGCGTCTATCGCGTGTACCGACTTCTCCCGGTTCTCGCTCTCTCTCAAATCTTATCTTATCCATAATGACGTGTTGCTGTCATGTCAATTGTACGCCCTGTGTGCTTGACATGCAACATACCAAACATTAACTCATTCAACCCCGCATGATTGCATGAGAACATCTTGGGACATACTGAACCATTACGATGAATCAACTAACTGCTGACCATTTTGTTGGATGGCTACCATGGTTCTTGCTACTGGTGCTCAGCATTGTTCTCTACTTCTGGAATAGCAAACGACCTGGCCAGAGTATTGGAGGCAAACAAGTACATCGCTCATATCCCTCACTGTGCATCATCAGCATAGCTAACTTCAACTCAGAATGTGCAGCCAGTTACGTCTGGCGAAAAGAACCCCTTTGGGAAAGAGCACTCGGAAGAGGCATACTACTCCATCGAGCCCCTCTCAGACTTTGATCTCGAGAAGACAGAACCGCTCCAACTGCGGCCATTCAAACCAAAGTATCACATGACCATGGGTATGTCTTTGTCATAACGCCCCCAGAAAACAGCAGATGTATTATTTGGATACCAGCCTGACATGGCTTTTCCCAGCCCTCGAAAACACGACACTTTCCGACCTCGTCGCCATGGACAATACCTACCTGGAGCGTCTCGACATTCGCCGCCAAATAATTCAGGACCAACGGTCAGAAGTCATAGCCTGCGAACTGCAAGCTGTCCCCGCAGTCATGGAACTATATACATGGGCCATAGGAACCTACCTGCCACGTCGATTCCCTTCCATCTACGGCATCGTCCACTCCACCACCAGCGAAGAGACAACATCCACCTACCTAAAAAACCACGCCACAAACACCCTCATCCCCCTTCAAGTCTCCTCCCCAGACCTCGCCCTCCAAATCCTCGGCGAAAACATCGACACCGAATTCCTCTTACTCCAAAAACAAGACAGTCCAAACTTCCAAACCCCAGAACCATACCGCCTAACGGCCTTCATAAACTGCTTCCCCGCCGGCTTCTCCACCCTCTCCAAACTCGGCCTCTCCTTAGCCGCCATCCACGCCCCCGTCCCACACTACGCCGAGAAGTTGGAAAAGAGCATGGACCGCTACTTCTCCGCCCTTCCAGTGGGGAAAATCGTAAAGCGCGTGAATTGGAGCATTAGTACGACGGGTGACTTGTTTTGTCTCGCGGGCGCCCATATGAGTGAGAGTGAGCTCGAGACGCCGCGCGAACGCGAGCGACAGGAGGAGAGTGTAGATCTGGATAAGACGGTTGTGAGATGTGAGAGGCAGACGTTGCATCGCTTGCCGAGGACGGGGGCTTTGGTGTTTGGATTCAAGGTATGCTTGCTATCTCTTACACCGAAAAAAAAGATGAGAAGTCAATAGTGCTGACGATTTTACTACAGACGTACATTTATCCCATCCAACAAATAAGAGACGAGGGAAACGGACACGTACTTGCTGAAGCAATCGATGGCCTAGGTCGCGGTACAGTACCCAAAATCACAGTGTACAAGCGACAAGTGGTCTGGGGCGAAAAGGTAAAGGCATTCTTGAGGGGAGAAATCAACGCTTGAGTAGACCGCGCGTGCTTGTATATATGTACCTGACGAACCAAGATATCCCCCAGTCCCAGACTTGGATATATACGTCCCATGTTAATTGTCGATAAACACAATAAGAACACCTCTGCACACATGTTACCTTTCATGCAAAAGGTCGTGCAGTAAAGGCACAAAAGTTAACCCACCCCCACCCACCCACTCCCATTGCTCATTCCTGCACCTAATTCATACCCAGACCCACTGACTCCACTCCCCATCGCCTTTCCTTATTCTCCAAGTAGTGTACCAAGGTTCGTCGATACACATGCATCACCAGCCCGCCCCAAGAACTAGATCGATCAAACCCACACTCCCCCTTCGATGCCAGATCCCCGCTGGCTTCCAACGCTAAAGCAAAGCCACGTACGCCCAAAAGAAGGAAAGAAGAAGAAGAAGAAGAAGAAAAAGCAAGTCAGCACACCCCATCCCACTTCCGTCTTCCAATCCCAAAGCAAAGCATGCAAACAAAGACCAACTTGCATACGTATATGTCTAGCTTTAGTGCAAGAAAAGTAGCCCTATTTTCCCCCACACTCACCCTCACCTCCGAATACCCGACGAGTTAACCGGGGTACCACGCTTCATCATGGGCGGCTTGACCACTGCCGATTTGCTCGGGACAGGAGGTTTAGCCGGGGCAGCCGTCTTACTGGCGAAGAATTTGTGCGCCAGCGCTTCCTTGGGCGTGAGACGCTTTTCCACGTTCATGTGCAAGGTTGCGCTTAGCAGGTCAGCTAGATCATTCAGCTCTGCGGCTGTGGGGCCGCCGTTTGAGATGTTGCGGGCGGCGTCGTGGACGCGGGTTTTCATGTCGCGGGGGATCTTCTTTTGTTGTTCAATTTTGCGGATGGAGAACTGTGTGGTTGGTTAGTTGTGGCTTTTCCCAGGGGCTAGGGTGTAGAGTACTTACCTTGTTGAATTGGTCGACTTCGCGGCTGATGAACTTCAGGGGTGGCCCGAGTTCGAAGTTGTCGAGAACGTTGTTGACGAGACCTTTCTTGAGTAGCTTCTCGCTTGGCCATCCCAAGCAGTCCATGAATGACTTGATCATTTGGTTGTTGGATCGCCCGGTGAAGAGAATCTTGCCGGTCCAGAGTTCGTACACTGTGCAGCCTACAGCCCACATATCAACGGGGTATCCTACGTCCATGCCAAGTATAATCTCGGGTGCACGGTAGAATCGACTGACAAGGTACTCTGTGCGTTCAATGACGTCTCGCTTGTCCACGGCGGTACCAAAATCGGCAAGCTTGATCGTCTTCTTGTCAGCAGAGACCAAAACGTTATCAGGTTTCAGATCAAGGTGAATGACTTGACAATTCTGCAAGTGCTGAAGACCAAGGAACATCTGGCGTGCATATATCCGCACCGCGGGGAGTGTCAGACCATGACCGTTGGTCTCCTCTTTCAGCAAATCTCGCAAATTCTTCGACATGTGCTCGAAGACTATGCACAAATGACCCTTATGATCAAACGAACCCAACAACCGAATGATATGGCGTTTGTCCTGAGGATCTGCTTCGTTGACTTTGCGCAAAAAGTCCATTTCCTTTTGACTGGCTCTCCGCATCAAGTCGTTGCGTCGAATCATCTTGATGGCGACAATCCTTGGACTGGCGTCTCCATTATCTGTTCCCACCTCTTCCGCTTGTGCGACATTGGCAAACACACCACGGCCAAGACCCTTGATCACTCGATAACGTCCACCATCTACCAACTCATTACTGATCAGCTTGTAATATCCCTCAGGATCGTCCCAGTTGTCCAGTAACTTTTCATCGAGAACGGTTCCTTTCGCAGCAACATTTGCCTCAGTTTCCACATCTTCGTCTTCGTCCTCATCATCATCAGACGCAAACATGTCGAATTCCTTCTTTTGTTTCTTGACAGGCGCCACCTTCTCAGCCGGCAAAGTCGAAAGATTCTTCGGGTCGGTCTCACGATATGCATCCGAAGAGACTTCGGCATTTTGGTTCTTCTGCGCTGCTCGATTCCGGTCGTCCAACATGTCCTGCATAGGGTCATAATCTGCTGCCGATGGGCTCGCTGCCGCCGGGCTGTTTCCCTCGCTGAATTCTCCCTGCTTGTCAATCACCATAACGTCAGGTGATGCTGGTGCAGATTCAAAGTCGCCATTCCGGGGTGATGCAAAAGGAGATATGGGACTATCTGCAAATGCTGCTGGCGAAGCGTTGTTAGGCGTATTCGCTTCTGAAGCATTAGTGAGAATGGCTTGTTGCAAGAGGCTCTCTTTGCTCTTTTGTTGCTCAGTAGCAGCACGTATGGCAGCCCAACGACGGCGCTTCTCCTCGCGCGATTCCTGGGTAGGTACTTTGTCTTGGACAGGGGCTGGGGTGAAATCAGTGGTATCATCATCCATTTTCCTATTAACAATTGTCAGCATCCGTTAAAATACCGATTCAGTAAAGAACGTCCTTACATTTCAACATCTTCAGATACGCTAGCCTGTGCAACCGATATCTTCGCGCTCTCGGACGGTTTCTGCTGCTCCTGTTCATTTGGCCTGCGAGTCTTGGTTTGCTCCTGGTCTTTGTCTCGTGGGCTCTGACGATGGTTCTTTATGGGGAGTGCTTCGCGGAAGTTGGGGACTGGGTTAGGGTTCTCAACCTCGGCATATGAGATTGGCTTCGCATGCGATCTATCTATAACGTCTTTGCGCTCTCTTGCAAACGCTACTGGAGGCTGGCCTGTAGCCCGTCGAGGCTCACCGTGTCTGCTACGATCAGCATGGTAACGCTTGTCGGGACGACCGCGTGGCGGAGAAGCCTTGCGCTTGTAGCCCCGGGTATCACTGCCACTCTGTTCGGCTCGGCTCCGTCGATATGGCGATGGCGAGCGGTCGGCTGCACGGTTCTTCCGAAATGGCGAAGGCGATCGTGACGGGGTTCGCTTACGGCGATATGGCGAAGGAGAACGACTCCGGGCGCGGTATTTCTCATGGGCACCATCTAGTCCAAAGGACCTGTTTGAGCCGTTAATCGCAGATTCGTTGCGCGAGTTGACTGTGTTTGCCTTGTGTCGGGTGTCGGGGAGCTCGCCCTCTGAAGCGGAACTCGAGTGAGACATTCTGAAGATTTTCGCGCTGCTATGATGGCTTCAGAATGGAGATTCTGGGTGTCAGCTGGATTCTTGTTGACGAGAGGACTGAGTGTCTCTATCACTGACTGTGTAGCAGAGAAGTAGAGACAGGTGCGATTGCGCCAGAAAAGCGAGGACAGACGCGCTGGTGAATGAGGAACTCGTTAGGGTCTTGTCGCGACTGGATGCGCGATCAGCGGGGAAAGTGCCCTTCAAGTTGGAGCTTGATATATTACCTAAGCAAGCCACGTGAAACTGATGGCTGATGAGCTGATGAGCCGGTGAGCCGGATTTCTGACCAATCGCAGAGGTAAAGTCACATGACCTGGGCTGTACCACCTCAATCTAGGACATCATTCATCTTGGATATTGTGCCTCGAAACAGATTAAACGTATTTGCCAGAGATGTAACAACATCTGTTCTCAATATCGGTAAAATCCTAAAAGAATGTAAATTAATTCTGCAGGACTGGAGATAAGTTGCCGTGTTTCAAGAGGTGAGATGTCAGCGATAACACGCCCTTTTTAGCAACACCAATATCCAAACGTTCTAAATACGCAATGCGGGAACTATAAGGTTCAACCCTAGGAAATTAGTTCCTTGAAGGGGCGCCTGCGACCATTCGGCCTACTCTTGCCGTCGATTATCCATTGCGAACATGCTCTGGCCCCTTTCGTGGCCCATTGATCCTCAATGATGCCTTTCACAAACTCCTACCTACGGTAAATTCGAGTTAAGGGGGTGAGCCTGATTGTTAAAGTTCAAGTCACTTAGAACATCTGATAAATTGATCGGCTGACACTCTTGCAATAAGAGCTGGCAGTGCTATATCTGTTGCTGTAGAACTTTGTGATCCAAATGGAACTCGGAACTGGCGAAAAGCCGAACGGACCCTTGACTAGATAGAACATGTCGAACATGGGGCCTTCACACTCCTGAACTTATTGTGTTTAGTACCCAGAAGTGGTGAGTCCCACATGCTCATTCCCCATTATGTGTTGTATGCGGGGTTTAGATAGGAGTTCCACGGCGGAGATTGCGTGATCCACAGGTTCATGGGAAGCCTTGCTCTGGTGGAGGACACATGACACTGTTTGTCTTATGCGGCGGGGTGATCAGGAGAGAGAGTTGCCGTGTTTCTTTGGGAATAGTGAAGGAAATGTCGGGAGCCAAGGATATTCCTGGGGTGATGTGGAGATATCTGCTAGAAAGGATCGATGGATCCGTGATGCTACGTGTGGGGCTCTGCTGTCAGCACAATGTGCATGTCAAAAAAGGAAACTCGATGCTGAGCTGATGTGATGAAGTCTTGGTAATGTATAGATTGGCATTCTTTGTTGAGGCATTAATCCACGGATTTATACGGTTTACAATAAATATCTTGAAGTAGATTTATAATGCAAGGTCGGCACAGCTGTTTTATCAATATGACAAGCCGGAGTAACAATTGTTACTTTCTTGGCGAACGTGATTGCCGTGCCATCGGTATACGCTACCACCAATCGCTTTACGCTTAGGAGAGCTGAGCAGATCTCGATTATCGCGGGATCAGTGATTAAGATAAACGTAGTAATTAAACACATTACTTAGAGTTTGCCACTTGGATATGCGGACGATTGCAACGGAAAATGCTGCTGCACGCGATCACGACACATGCGAGTAAGAAATCATCCCAAAGGTGGTGGCTCATGAATCAGTAACCGCAACGCTTACTGTGCTTCTCTGCAGCAGATCAGCACTTCATCGTCTACCCATGCGTTTCACGTTCAAGATCTCCATGCTGCAGTGAGGCGCAGCACTCGTGTACCCTACATGGTCCCACTGCTTGTAGCCCTTCCAAAAAAAGGGCAAACGCCGGAAATATTTTAGTAGCACGAGTGACGTACCTGGTTTATAGTTTGCTACTACAGCTTGTTAGTCGGTCTGCACAGCCACCTTGGTCCATATAACCAGGGTGGCAACTAGAGATCAGCAGTAAGTGTGCAGCGGGAGTCTATTGTAGGGGATCGTCGGGGGAAGCGGGTAGGATAGGGTGCCAAGTTAGAGATTGCGGTTAAAGCGCGTGATGAGCGGTTTCACGACCACCTCAATGGGAAAAACGAATGAATGGAGAAAAAAAAGATTAAGACAGGGTCTAGAAAGAAGGATCATCATAGGATTAGTTATAAGAGTAGTGCATAGAAGTGATAGTCGTAGTCCAGGCTGGACACTGGCCGTTACCCCGCCCTTACAAATCTCTTAGGAATTCTTATCAATCGTGTTAGTCTAACGAAACACAATAGGCGGTGAAGTTATATCAAGTACAATCCATGTGCAATGCTTAGGGAGCTGCAAGGACTTGAGAAGTGATGCGTGCATGTGCACGTGACTCTTAGTTGCCGAGGCCTAAGGAAATGCTTGGAGAATTGATATGGGTTAGCCGGGTGGTACTTGTATCTAAACATGGTGTACATAGCATGTAGGTAAGCACCTTCATGACTCCGGACCACAGTCTAGTATTAGTACATATGTGACGAACCCCCTAATTCTTTGTCGACTACTACTAGTTGTCTGTCGGTTCGAGATGTTCCATGCGCGCGGTCCGTTAATGAACCAATGGACCCAACTCCCAAAGCGTGTGCGTGTGCTAAATTTGAGTCTGTGAAGTCGGTGACATGATTGCGAGGCTAGTTGGGGTATTATGTGGAGATCTCAATGGAACCATCGCCACCAGACAGCTGGGTCGCGAAAAAACCGGAGTGTAACATGCCGTAGAGGGATATGACCGACAGTAGTTGAATGTGCCCACTAAATAGACTCTCCGTCGGACGGCAAGAAAAGTCACTGTGTCTTCGCGGCAAGCCGGAGTAATGGAAGTTGAGGATACAGATACTGGTCCGGTGAACATAGATGGGTGTAAGTACTTAGTGTTGTTGTCGAAACCCGCGTCCCCCTAGCAGAAAAGGACGCCTCCGCGGCCCCGTACCCGATGGTGGTTGCCAAAACTGGATAGCCGGCGCCTCCCCCCGTATCCGGCGATCATCCGCAATTGAGATTCGCGAGCCAATCCATGCTACACACTCATGACCAGCGACGTTGGATCAACCCGAACCCGAACAGCGCGCAACACTCAGCAGCGCTCACGCACACGGAGGGGGGTCGTCCAAGAGGCGTTTTTGACAGTTTGTAAGACCGGACGAAGACTTTTACCGGGCGTCCGGAGGAAGCGGATTCCAATAATGCACACTCAATGTCGATACTCGGAGCATTGGCAGAAACAAGCCATGCCGAAGCATTGTGTTCGGGCGCGCACACCCACACATGGCTGTATCAAAACCTTAGATAATGGAGACCCGCGCAGCGCCAATAAGGCGACAAATAGGATGAGGTACAATGCATGCTATTGCAGTAGCCCTTTATTTGACGCGAAGTGCCAGGATGTCAGAGAAGCAAGTGAAACACGTGGTTCTTGAGCGACCATTGGCAAGTTTGCATGGTGAGGCGCGCTAGAAGAAAGAAAGGCATTGCCGTGGCGTGTGTGGGTGGTAGTTTGTGCGGCGAAGGGGCTAGGAGGCGCTGGGCGAATGGCGGTGGGCAAATCCGATGGCAAGTCCCATATATTACAAACATAGTAAGTTACATATGGATAATACGTATGCACAAGACACTTCTGGAATGCTTGTCGTGGGTGGTGAGGCGGCGAGGGCCGAAAACTATCGGACAAGCAGATGCTTACTGCGTCCTACTACGTATTTAGTTTTTTGACGTGACCCTGACGCTAAAGGCGGCGTGTCCAAGCCGGCCAATTGTTGATAGGCGGAGGCGAAGCCCGTAGACTGTGAGACGCTGAGTCGTGGTGGTGGAAACGGCAGAGGGCGACGGAGACCCTGGTAGACCACGTGCCGAACTGTCGGGTTGCGGTGGCTAACCGGCGGCAAGGTCTGCAAGATGAGCAAGATGGCGTACGGTCTCGACCTCGATCCATCTGCCATGTCAAAAGGACTAGGTTTTGGAACTGGTGAGCCCGTTATGGCGTACGTCATTGACCGGCCAAAGACGGCCATACGACGCGACGAGATTTCATATTGTTGCGCCTGGCTTGGAATGTGCTGATCGCTTGGTTCAAGACGCCATGCCAAGTCACTTCCTGGCAGGCGGAGAGTCCTTGTTGTGCATGCATAGTACTGTCTAAATGTGTGTTGTATGGACTACATAGATAGAATTTTCTGTATGGTGAGGTGTAATGCATGTGTGCCGGTTAGGGGACTTTGTTAGGCAGCGAGGGAGCGGCGATGCACGAGAGGGTGGGCTGCAGATCAGAGCGGGAGGGCGAATCTAGGCGGGCTGATGCATGCAAATTACATACTTAGATGGTGGCAGGGCATTGTTTCTGCCTCTGTTTGGCTGGGCTGCAATCGCTGGGCAGGAGAGGGAGAGGGAGAGCAGGGCATGACGTTCTCCCAGTGGCTGCCGGCAAAGGGGAACGTGAGCGGACAAGGTCCAAGTTGAGGGCGCCCTGCATATGGGGGCCAGACTAGAGAGGCATGAAGGGTGCTGAGGGTTATTGACGGCATGCGGATATGTAAGTATAGACAAAGACAATGGGGTAGGTGGTATACGAGCAGCTCCAATTCGTGCACTCGTCGACTGAATTGGAGTAGTGGAGTGTGGGGGACGGCGCGGGCCCCCGGCGCCCTGGTGGTTTAGAGGATGCAGTCTGCCCGAGCATCTACGCAGGCCAACCGGGCCACCCTCCGCCGCACCAGGACATGTCGTCTGCCTGATGCTTGGCCAAGGATAGACTTGTGGGGGGGAAGCTTGAGTTTGCGTTTGTCGGGGGGTGGATATGGATGGATGGGGGATGATTACTCTACAACACCTAGTAAGTACACCTAGACAAGCAGATGGAGTTCCGTCGCGTGCATGCTTGTTCCCCGACGCAGCTCGTCGGCGCATGCGCACGGGCGGTCAAATGATCGGGGACTCAGGCTTGGGTTCACGTCTAAGGGCGGGAAGGCCATCAGACGTGGCTAGAGCCATGTGCCTAAGAGACGCTCTGTCGTCGACGACTGGCACCCATCTACACCTAGCACTCTCTCCTATGTGCGCCATGTATCGGCAACCAATAGCAAGCACTGCATTCACTATCTTGTAGGGGTTAATATGCCTTGTTGGGTAAAGCGTGCGTCGTCAACGTCGAAGCACGCTGCTGCTCCATGGGCCTCAGCAGACACAAGGGCGACGGCGACAGCTCTCCGCATGTGCGTGTCGTCGTCGACGAGGAGGGCAGACGGCGAGCATGCTGTAATTCACCGAAGCAGTACGGAGTAGTTAGCAGCCCAGCCTTGGCAGACATACCGTTTTTCTTGACTCCTGGCGCCAACGGGCACGTCGTCTTCAAGGCCCAGGATGCCAAGGGAGGTGTGCGGAGGTTTTTCACCCAATCTCTAGCCAAGCTACCAAGGCGCTTTCATCCGGCTTCTGGGGGCAGCGTCATGCCCATGGCTATGCCCATGGTGTAGCTCCGTGGTGGCGCTCCATGCCCTAATGCACGGGCGGGAGACCATGTTCCTGCACCCATCCAGCTAGTAGGTGCCTCGCCGTCGAAGCAGAAGCCTTTGGTCTGCCATGGCCGTGCAATGTCGGTCTGCTTCCTATGCCACCCGAGCGTAGCCATGACCCGTCGCCAATTCACCCTCGACAAACTCAAAATATACGTCATGCACTACTGGAGCTTTGGTCCTCCCAGAGCATACCGCACCCCTCCCAGGCCACATCCTGGGAACGCGCTTCAACGAGGCGGCGCAGCCAACAACTTCTGCGAGCCATCGGGCCGATTGCAGATTGCAGTCTTCTGGCACCCATCAAATCAAGGTAGTGGTAGCGCTGGGTGCCGTGGGGCCAAGTCCAAATAGGACGAAGAGACGAGGAAAAACAAAATACCGTCAAAGTGCCATTGAGCACACCGTGTCCAAACACAGGCACACATATGTACCTAAGTACATAACAGATACGAGAGTGTATGTATAGTCTGGTCGCGGCCTCGGATGTGCTGGAAAAAAAAGACGCATTCAGATGATCTACCGCACGTCACTGCGCCAATGTCAAGGCAAGGCGGCGATCGACGAGCTGGGCTGGAAAGGCGTGACCTAATCGTACCTACCTATGTAGTATATCTGGATGTATCTATCAGTACTGTAACAAAGGAGGGGGGGAGGCGTAGGGAAAGAGAGGAGAGAGAAATAAAAAAAAGGGTCCGGCCCATTTCTCAAGTCAATGGGCTTCATGATGCACATGGCGAGTCGCGGACCAGCCGCGCACACATGGCAAATCCAACGCCATCAGAAGCGGTTCCAAGGGGGGCCCATGGGCCATGATGTCGCAAGGCATTCGCGTTCGCTTCGCAAGCTTGTGGCAGTATCTGTTTAGGAGCGGCGGTTCTAGCCTAGTCGC